AAAGAATTGGATCGCATACAAAGAGTTGGCACTTGTATTGAAGTTCTTAGATGGAAAAAAAAATAGGCCATTTTTGTTTTTTAAATGTTGCTATCAATCAGTAAACTATAATTATAATACTAAAGTGTAAATCAAAACAAAATTGCTGTTTAAAATTTTATTACAGATAAATTTAATTGTTATGAAAATAAGTAATTGAAATTATCAAATGATTACGGAATACATATTACCATTAAAACAATTTTATTGGTTCAAGCCCTATTAAAAAATGTGCCAGTTTAAAGTATTGATATTTTAAACTTTACTGGGTTACAGTATATGGATATTAAAAATGTATTTGAGTTTTTATATGCAAGTTTAAAATAAATAGATAATGGTTTTTAATAATCATTTGGAAATACAAATTGCATGAAATGGATTTGTTAACAAACGTCACTGTACCCATGTTAAGTGAAACAGACTATAAACACCTTTTTTTTTTATTAAAATTTATTGAATTATTACTAATTTGAAAAATGAAGTACTGAAGTACCTATTTATTTACATAAAATCTTCAATTACGGATAAAGCTGTTCCAAACATAATAAAACTTCAGAAGCAGCTTCTAAAGTTTAATAGCTATATTACGTTTGAAAATATTTAAATGATTTGAAATGGAATTGTTATGACTACAGACACTTAAGTTACCATTTCATTTCATAACTACTGTTTTAACTAATTTTATGATATCTGTTTATTATTAGTCCTGGTTTCAGCCAACTAGCACTTTTATCATTGATATCTGTATCATAAGAACCCTCATAACCGCCTTCTACATTGCCTGCTACTATCACACTGATTTATGACTCATCATTGGCTGACATTTTCAAAAACAAATATGTAAAAGCAAGTCGCAAAAAGACGAATAATGGAAAAGATTATTGATATCATTTTAAAAAGACCGTAATTATACAATTTGAAAATGACTTAAAAGTAACAATCAATTATAAACATAGTTTGTAAAGTTGATTCAGGGTGACCTGCTATGCTAGACCAGTGATTCTGGGGCAAATAGTACTTATTTTCTCCATCACCAATATGTCAGTGAATTCATTCGTTTTTCATTTTTTTATTCTATAGAAAATGCAAATAAGCTCCTATGACAGCTCTTTTGGTAATATGCAATTGTGTTTACACTATCCAGGCGGCTTCAAACCCTAAAAAGCTCATAGACAAGAAAGGGGAGGATGGAATATTGAAAACTGTACTATACATCAGGCTTACTGATTTTATCAGAAAATTATTTATGTGTTCATTAAATGTATTATATTATGTCTTGTTTATTTTTTATTTATTTATTTAATCAAGTGTTATACTAATGTTTATTAAAAATCTTAATACATTCAATATAAATAGAATTTATTTAATCATCAGAAACAAAGAATACAAAATCATGTTTCCATAGCCTTTCAAATTAGGTATATTTTTTGAGAAAAAAGATTACATGTGGATAGGTCAATTTTCATAATAAAGTTTTCATGATAAAAGAGTGCTATCAGTGGCATGATGTTAAATAGGTACAATAAGAATCATTTGAAAGCTTTAAAATTTATTTAAATCCTACATCTGAGTTCACAATAATCTTGATAATAAATTTTGATCCTTCATATTTAGGATTTCTAACTTTATTCTGATTTTGAGACTTGTGTTCAAAAAAGTGATATCAGTCACTTTTTTGTACTTGTTACTTGGTACACATATGTAAGATGGCGATTAGAAATATAACCATTTTTGGGGGATAAAAAGAAATTAAAACCTCTGCGAACTATAATAGGTGACATAAATGAAAGGGTTTTTTATGACGATTTCATCAAACATGTCTAGGAACACATGCACATAAGTCACTTTTAATAAAAAAAAAAAACTAAATTGAAATTGCTTCATCTGTTCTGGAACTATGATGCCACAGCCAGAGAGACTCACATACAGACATCAAACTTATAACACCCCTCTTTTTGCGTCAGGGGTTAAAAGAAAGAAAATATTTGTGTCTATGTATAGATTACAGGAAACTCAAAAAGTGTATGGTTTTTAAAAGGCAATGTTTATGCTGAATGTTTGAAGCCCTACACAAATAAATGGCATATATTTTATAACAAGTTTTTTTGTTAAATATTACAATTTGTTATATATTGTTAATCTATTATTTTTGTAGATTATTAAATCTACAAAAAAGTTTATGTAAAAGAATCCTTTAAAACATGGAAATCGGATATTTAAATTTCAAGTTGGCAACAAACTTAACCTCTCAACAGCAAACTCTGCTTTGCATCTTTAATATAGAAATATGCAATCTGCAAAATAAATAGTGCATTAGGATGAATGAATTCACAAGTGGAGTTCTGGTCAAAGTCAAATTTTAAATTAAAAAACCAAAATGATGAAAAGTCAATGTTGAATGATTCTAACCTGGCATACTTTAGGTACTCAAAATAAATCATTAACAAATTAACATGATTGTTCTTAAAAGTTTTTAATTGTCTTATAGATTATTCAATACAATATATAAGTTAAAATAACTAATTAAAAACCAATACTTTGTACTATAATAATCAATAATGTATTTTATTAATGAATAATACTTTAAAGTGTTTTTGTTTCTTTTTTTTTAAACTATGACAAACTTTTTATCTGTCCATCTTGGTCATCAACTACATGAACCAGGAGAAATTCATTATTGTGAAATTTCACAACAGATGCACTGGACAGCAACCAGTGGAGGCAAATCATTTGTATCAGATGCAACCCTGACATTGACTACGACTCTCACTCATGGAGGACTGATTAGTAGATTTTAAAAATTCGAGGTTTCTGTAGTATTGGATAATATCTGTCATTGGAAACAAATCCATATGATAATAATCCCTGCTTGCTACTTGGTCTACATAAGTGAACTTTGTAATTTATTATTTTATCTTTATTAATTTATCAGTATTATATTGGTATTTATAAGTAATTCAATCTACCCCTTAGCTATCTTTCTGAATCATGGTTTTTTTTAAATATCTTTCCCTTATAACTCCACAATACACAAAAAGACATAAATAATTATTATATGGTGTGCAATTATACCATATTAAAATAACCATTGAATTTGTAATTCATTATATATAATAACAAATAAAATTCAATCAGATAAATGCAGAAGTTAAATATGGCTTTTATTTCTTTTACCAAGAATTCAGTATTTCTAATGGCTCGTATGATATGATTTTTAATAGACTTCAAAATCCAAAAGGAGGTTATATGTTCGACAGTAACATGTTTTTGTGTATGTTCACCAATATTTTCGTGATTGTTGACTGATTTTCATACTTATCTTTTATTTAACAGTTTAATGGACCAAGGTGGTCCTATTTAAATTTTATCAAAATTGAATAAGTTGTTTTCCTTTTATAATAAAACAAAATATCGATGCTGGAAATTAAAAAAAATCAATATATTTTTCCATATTAATTGACTAAGGAGTACCTTATTTGTTACCATGGACATTTATAAGAATTATTTATTGAAAAAAAAAAAACTTTTCTGCTCTGAAGAACAATTTTGATTTTGTGGGTTACTATGTGTTTGTCGCTTTTTGGAATTTAAAAAATAAAAAAAAGTGAATTTACTATGTTCAAGGAGTATGTATGTATATTTTTTAAAAAAGTAGAGGAATGTTTATCAATTTCTACTTGAATTGTGAACCAATTTCTATCAAACTAGCTGATTCCCTGTGACTTCGCCTGCGTAAATTATGGCCTATGTCCAACACATATTAAGTAGCTTCACTTACATGAAAGACTTTCATGAATGAGTTCAATAGTTTCGGAGCCAGTCCAATGCAAACAAATCTTTCCTTTTTATCATATGAGTATATAATTATTGGAAAAAATTATGCTGAACAAATAAACAAAATCTTCTTTGCTAAGCCTTTCACTATGTTGAATATTTTGATTTCAATTGCATTTTCTTGAATAAGGCTATTGATATAAGTATTACTTGTCATTTTTTAAAGTCGAAGTTGGTTCTATTTTTAGTTTTTTTTATTTTATTTCACTATCATGTCGACAAAATTACATCCGAAGTCTAAGGTTGTTATTGTCAATGAAGTGTCAATATCTCCTAATGTAAGATTTACTTCCTAATATAAAAGAATGTTTACATTAAGAATGTTAGAAGATATTATCACTTCATCTATGAATCTATTTCATGAAATATTATTAAACTTATAATGCATAAAAGTAATGTTCTAATTAATTAGTTAAAAATGTTGTCAATATTTAAAAAAAAAATGATTTTAGTTCAATTACAACCTGCTATTTAATTGATAACCTTGATAAAATTAACTATAAGAGATAATTTTAAGTGATGATGAAATGCATTAAATAGAAAGTTGAAATAAAGCATTATTCATGTTCTCATATTTTTTCATGCATTGGCATATTCACCTATTCAGTATGATTTATAGCTCTTTATTATCTGTTTTATAGTAATAATGCTAAATCTACTGATAATACCAACAGTTCTAAATACGTTTTATTCAATAACTGTGTATTATAACCAGATAATAGGAGCACATAAAAAGTAATTCTTGAAGGGTTTCAAAGTTTACAAGATGCTTCTGATGAATTTTGAAACATAGTAAAAATCAGATAATATTGTATTACCGAGAGTAAACGGTAAATACTTCAACAATAAGAGTAAAATTTCTAATTATAGATGCTTGAAATGTAAATCTGGCAAAATAACACAGCAAAAATTCCGTATGTTGACGTGGCGTCAGTTATAGTATACTCTTTTTTGATGTTATAACGAACTGTAGTATGAATCGGTGTCATTGAATGTCTTCAAAATCACTTAGATAGCAATAAAACATGTAAAATAGTAGTTTGATTTCCATTACAGTGGTAAGTATGGCGCCTCTGACATTGTTAGCTTATCTATATTTTGGTCAACAATATGGCGATTGGACTTACCCTATTATTCCTAATGAAATCTTCGATAGCTTTTAGCGCAGAATCCGTTAATTTCACAAACACTAGTTCCTTGTTTTCTTTATAACTAGACTCTGATGATAACCCATACTGAACACCTGCTGGCAAGGCCGCCATTTCTTATTCACTATTCGCACTGTTGACCAGCTGACTCCTTTGCTAGCCGTCACGATTCATATCATTCACACATTTTCTTAAACGTAATCACAGATTCACAACCTATATAAAATTATAATTACTACAACAAAAGGGTTTTACTAGTCCAAATTATTCTTTTTGTAACCCCATCGACTCGGCCTTTGTTGGCACCGCTCTTCAGTCCGCAAGGCCGCACTGACTGTCATGCGTAATGGCGCTTTTGACAGGAAACGCGAGCATTCACTGCGACACTAGCGCCGCATAGCGATTGGCAGCGTAATTGTAATTGTCGTTACGTGACTAACTTCATGTCGTTCAAAAATTTTCAAAGTTGTGGTTTTTTCTTTTGAAAATTTAAGAGTATTCTAAAGTAATAAAAAGTCTTAGTTAAACCTTTTATTTTTGATTAACTCCTATTGTTATTCCATAACTACTAAATTGGTAACTTTTGAGGTTATGTTTCATTGCTTACGACGTGTAGTGTTACCTTTCTTTCTCAAGTGATATCGGATCAAGATTTTATGAAATAACTGCATGAAATATTTTCTTTTCTTTGATTATTTTGTGTTTTTATTAAACTTTACCGAAGGTAAGAGAAAGTTATGAATAATACCAGATTATACATTATGTATTAATATTATTCTTGTGAATTTACATTATTATGAAATAACCAATATGTATTACATTTATTTTCCAGTGATTTACGATGGCAAACTGGGAAGAAAAGAAATCTCTCATCATACGTAACCTGCAAGAAGTATTGGGTGAAGATAAACTCACAGAGATTTTAAAGCAGAGAGATCTCAAAATATACTGGGGTACCGCAACTACAGGCCGACCTCATGTGGCATACTTTGTACCTATGTCTAAGATTGCAGACTTTTTGAAAGCCGGTTGTGAGGTAACAATCCTTTTTGCTGATTTACATGCATATTTAGATAATATGAAGGCTCCTTGGGAACTACTGGCACTTAGAACTCAATACTATGAAGCTGCTATAAAAGCTATGTTGCAATCTATTGGTGTTCCATTAGAGAAACTTAAGTTTGTGAGAGGTACTGAATATCAGCTTAGTAAGGAATATACCTTAGATGTTTATAGGCTGTCTTCAGTTATTACAGAGCATGATGCTAAAAAAGCTGGTGCTGAAGTTGTGAAACAAGTAGATCATCCATTGTTAAGTGGATTACTTTATCCTGGATTACAAGCATTAGATGAAGAATACCTTAAAGTTGATGCTCAGTTTGGTGGTGTAGATCAAAGAAAAATATTTACAATGTCTGAAAAATACCTTCCTCAACTTGGATATGCTAAGCGAGTGCATTTAATGAATCCCATGGTTCCGGGTTTGACTGGAGCTAAAATGTCTTCCTCAGAAGAGGACAGCAAAATTGATTTATTAGATAATCCAGCTAATGTCAAAAAGAAACTGAAAAGAGCATTCTGTGAACCTGGCAATATCACAGATAATGGTGTTTTATCATTTACCAAGCATGTTATTTTCCCATTAATGAAACCAGGAGAATCATTTAAGATTATAAGAGCACCAGAACATGGTGGTGACATAGAATTTACTAATTTTGATGTTTTAGAGGCTGCATTTGCTAAGCAAGAGATTCATCCTGGAGACTTGAAATTATCTGTAGAGCTGTGTATAAACAAACTTCTAGCTCCCATTCAGGAGATATTTAAAGATTCTAAACTACAAGAATTGACTAAGAAAGCATACCCATCTTTGGCTAAAATAAAAGGTAATGCCAATACAACAAGTGATGAAATTACACCTGTGAAGTTGGACATTAGAGTTGGAAAAGTTGTGGAAGTAGCAAGGCACCCTGATGCTGATGCTTTGTATGTAGAAAAAATTGATTTAGGTGAAGAACAACCCAGGACTGTTGTTTCAGGCTTAGTGAATTTTGTACCTATAGAAGAGATGCAAAATAGAGACGTTGTTGTACTTTGTAATTTAAAACCAGCAAAAATGCGAGGTGTGGAGTCCAAAGGTATGGTCCTGTGTGCCTCAGTTGTTGAGCCTAAGCAAGTTGAGCCTCTGTTACCACCAGATGGCAGTAAACCAGGAGATAGGATTGTTGTGGAAGGGTATGAATCTGGAGAGCCAGATGATGTTCTAAACCCCAAAAAGAAGATCTGGGAGAAATTGCAAGTTGACTTAAAAACAAACGACAATCTTGTTGCTGTATGGCAAGGAAATAAATTGATAAGCAAAGTCAATGGCAATTCAGTTTCCACCAAGTCCATGAAAAATGCTCCTATAAAATAAGTATAAAGTAATTCAATAATCTTTATATTATAAGTAATTTATGATGACTAATAAACAGGACTGCATTATCATAAAAGCTTTTAACAAAGATTCAAGTTTAATTTCTATAAATTTTAAGATCTTCTAAAGATTATTTGAGCTATCAACACTGTTACAATACATAAAAAAATATATGTAGATACACATTTTGAATACATGTAATTGTTTTAATAATTTATAGTCTAACTATTTAACTATTTTATAGTCTTAATATATATTTTTCATTTAATTTGTTTCCTTCTTTTACTGCTTACCAATACTTAACCTGTTTTTTAATATTTAAGTAGTATCTTTTAGGGGTGTGACTGCCCAACTCTAGCCATACCAACTTTATTATTGACGAACGAAAGATAAAGAATGACAATGGCGTTACCAAATTTTCATCCTAAAGTTATCCACAAAAAGACATGTCAAATAAGTAAGATGAAATGTAATACCGCTATAATATCGATAATATGGCTAGAATTGGTAGGTATCATGAGAGATTTGATGTGAAATCCTTTTCTTAATGAGGGAGTATTTAAAAAGCAATGTGAGCTCTAAAGAAGCACCTCCACTAGATGGCGACTCTAGCAAAAGTTGATTTTTGCAGGAAACGAATGGACCAAAGACAGTCATTTCCGTTCATTATAACTAACATATTAAAAAACTTAAATTTGAAAAGTTGGACACTTACATATCAATACAAATACGAAAAATTACAAATAGAATATGAGTTGCTTATTGAGTTTTGAAAACTTTTAACTTGAAAGAAAACCGGAAAGGTTGTTATGGATAAATCAAGAACGTACCGTAGCGACATCTAGTTTGATTTCGGGAACTAATGTTTTTTTTTAATACTTCCTCATTAACGGAAATTGTGAAATAGTTCATTAACGATTTGAAGTGATTATTTAAAACTATTAGAATTATATTACTCACAATTTAAAGAAAAGATAAAATTAGTTTATTAATTATTATTATTACTTTCCAACAATGAAGGAACTACTAATTAGACACCTCTAAAACGAATACTGCCATCTATTGGAAAGTTTTGATATTTTGCACTGAGCAGATCAAAGAGCCATGATCCTATTCACAAAAAACCCTGGGCATGATGTCATTCGGGAGTGGTACCCGGGAACATGAACGCAGGCCCGGATCTAGGGGGGTGTAAGTGCAGTTGCCCGGGCGCCAGTGTCAGGGGGGGTGCCAAAATCAACTTATTGAAATAAATAAAATAAGCCTTTATTCAAAGTTACTTATCTATTAAACAATATATAACATTAAAAAAAGTTCTTTCTTAATCTGATTGTTCTTTAGCAAAGGCTTCCCCTAGTTCCATAGTTGTTTGTATAATACCTACTTACATACAGTTAAAAAAGAACAACCTTCACAAATCTTTTTATACACATTATTAAATAAAAGAAAAGAAAATTATAACTGTAAAAATATGGCAATATAAAACACGGAGAGGGGGAAGGGAAGAAATATACGAAGTTTCTATCAAGATTAAAAAAAAAATCGTAGATAGAATTTGACCTACTTACGATCAGTTGCATGACGACTTTAAATTGAAATGAATGTTCTTTTGAAATGGAATGACCGTTTGTTCAACTCGGCGTATGTATGCTTGTGTCAACCTGTCGGTTCCTCAAAAATCTTAGTTTAGATAGATTTAAGTTAGCTTATGTAAATCATTTTGGCTTACTACATTCGATATTATATTTCAAAATTCTCTTTTATGGTACGTTCTAGGTACATTCATATGATTTTATTCATTCATTAGATTATCTTTTGCATACCCATAATATATCTTCCTTCTCCTAATTCCTAAGCCTTCTGAACCTATCTCATTAAAAATCCGTTCCAACTATTTTCTTATTTTCTTTCGTTTCCGTTTCCCAAACTTTGACGAAGGCTAAGCATAAACAGTGCAAGCAAAATAAAAAAAAAAACTATCATCATTTTTCTCTATGATTGATATGACCGATATGCGTATGACTGCATCTCGTTATTTACTCTTTTAGTTTTGTAATGACTTTCTCCTCTGTAATTTATACCCTAATTTTCTCTATGACGTAGTATCACTTTACTCTGTCATAAACTATTTACTCTTAATTTTGCCAACGACTTACTCCTCTGTAATTTATACCCATTATCTATTTACTCTTTAACTGTTACCAATGACTCCACTGTAGTTTATACCCATCATCTGTAATTTTTTTTTATTATTTTCGACCTAGAGTCATCTATTTATTTTTATTCTACCGAGAAAATCCTTCTGTTTTCAAAACTTCATAATTCAAAATTATTGTTTTTATCGGGAGTGTTCGGTTTTTTTATGGCTATAAAAGCCGTGTCAACCTGACATTCGAGATCATCAAGATATACTTCTAGAAGAAACTTCTAGAATAGTAAAAAAGTCAGTAATAGGAGTGGTGAGTGATATCCGTCGCGCGCCAACAATTTTTGAAGCTTGTCTACAAAAATTCTTTGTTGAACCCTCTTTAATCCGGTTAGGACAGGTATCGAGAATGGTAAAATAACTTGCTTGATTCTCATCGATATCTCCAATGCTTTAAACACTGTTAGTCACGATATCCTTCTCGCTATCCCATCTCATATTTTGGTGTCTGACGAGGCATTGAATTGGTTCTCGTCCTAACTTCAGGAGCGCCATGAGGTGGTCCAGTCTGGTGAGTCTTCATCATCCTGGTATAACTTGGAAACTGGTGTTCCTCAAGTTGGCATTCTTTCTCATCTTCTTTTTACCATTAATTATTAATTTTATTACTTGTAAACTTCAGTGTTCGTATCATCTGTACGCTAATGACTTGCAGCTATATACTCAGGCAAATGTTGATGGTTTAAACGATGCCACTGATGCTATGAACTATTAAGTCCTGGTCGGAAAAGATTAAGTCGCTGTCAACCCCACTAAATGCCAGGTTATATGTTGCGTGGCTGTCGAATGACGGCTAGAATCGATAATTGCGGTCTCCGTGCTTTGGTCTTCGTTGGTATTTCTATTCCTTTTAGCCAAAAGTGAAAGATCTTGGGTTAATTATCGACTGTAATTTAAACTAGCAGGCGCAAATTGGAAACGTTTCGAAAAAGTTACTGGAGTTTACAGCATGAAAATTTCTTACCTATTAACATTAAGGCAATGCTTATGCAGACCTAAATATTTCCCATCATCGATTATGGTGCTGTATACTGTCTCGACTTGAATGCAGATCTACTTAATAAACTTGACCGTATTCTGAATAACTGCATTCAATTCGTTTACAATCTACGAAAGTATGATCATGTGTCTAAATACCGATCATTACTCAAATGGATGCCTATTCGGCAGCGCAAACACATGTGAACTCTAACCACCCTTTTCTCATTTCTAGATTCACCTAATGCTCCTTTCTAACCTCCATTCTAAGGTTGACTGGCAGAAAATGCCGCAGGTATTATATCCGCCTATGTATCTTTGTGCATCAAGAATAAATAAATATTCGTATGGTCTGCGTTAAGTGTCATCCATGCAGTAGGTAGTAGTAGGAGCTTCTTCCACAGACCATTTTTTAATAAACTCGGACGTGACCTTCAACGCCCTTGGTATTAGTGTACCTATAATGAGGAAGTATTTAAAAAAAAGAAAGCTCTAAAAGCACTTTACTAGATGGCGGCTCTAGCAAAAGTTAATTTTTGCAGGAAATGAATGGATCAAATATAGTTATTTCCATTCCTTTTAACTAACATATTAAAAAAATGAAATTTGCAAAGTTCGAAACTTAGATATCAATACAAATCTGAAAAAGTACAAATAGAATATGAGTTGAATATTCAGTTTTGGAAATAAATTTACTTTTATACATAAAACTGGAAAGGTTGTCATGGAGAAATCAAGAAAGTACCGTAGCGACATCTAGTTTTATTTCGGGAACTAATGTTTTTTTTAATACTTCCTCATTACAGAATTTGGAATATGTCGAAAGAATAAAAATGTTTATTTAAAATCTGAATCTGAATATAATATGTATTCAGTTTTAAAACGTTTCGTCACAATATTTGCAACATTTATGCAACAAGCAAAGATATATTTTTTTACGGTGAATTTCATTAATTTATCCATTTCATCTTTAATTGAGATTACTTACGAAGATCATTGATAGAGTTCGATATAGTGAATGAATTAATATCACCCTAGAATACCACCCTTTATTTGAAACAAACAAGTATCCAAATTAATAAGAGTAACGATACATGTTCTATATTTTATTGATACTGTTAAAAATATTATGGAATATTTCATTCTTAATTTTACATATATATAATATATATATATATACTGGAGATAATACTGTTCCTAGACTAATCCTTAAGAGCAATATAATCGATTATGAATAAGTTCCCTAAGTCTAGATCTCCGTGAAAGTCACTTTTTGTTTTTAATGTGAATGTTTAAATTATATAATTTAATTATTTATATGCTTCTAGAAATCTTAAATCTAATTATTTTAGTGACTGTATGTTGTGAACGAAACTTTGTATGAAAGAGGGAAATAATGTTAAATGTGTAAGAAAAGAGTCAGAATGATTGGTTATGTGAAAGCTAGACAAAACGTTTTTAAAGTTTAATTTAATAACATTATTATTTACGAAATGTAAGTGACGGGCTGGGCTTGTAGTGTCAGTCGAAAAATTCAATTTGCATAGGATACCCATTTTTCAATATTAATTTAAAAATTATAAAACTCTTAATAAAAAAATTTTCGAAGTCATACACTCTAAACCTTTTATTTAACTTCCTTTCATGTACTCGTGTCAAAATTTCATTAAAAGTAAATCAAATTGAAAACCAAAGATTGTGAAGTTAATAATTAAATGTAAAATATATTTTGTTTTTTCTTTTATTCAGTATGACAACACCTTGGTCGGGACGCTTGGTTGAGAACTAGTGTGGATACACACGCTTTGACGCCCCGACCAAGGTCACGCACGAACCAAGACCTACCAAAGTCAAGTTCGACTACCTACCGTGTGGATGGCACTTTAGGGAGTGTCAGGTGCGGGCCATAGAGAAAAAACTGTTCGTAATAGGTACTTAAATTCTTGCTCCACATGTTGGGTGTATGCTTCAAACAGCAAACAGGTGCCAAACCATGACAAACACCCAATATATTGTTGCAGGCAATCCTTTGTTTCAATAGTATATTTTGTGGAAGGCTGTAATTACCTCATATTCATATATTGTGAGTTATTCTGTAAGCTCCCCATGTTGAATGAAATAAAATAATTGATTTATTTATTACGTAGATAATACTGAAGAAGGTGGAAAATAACTTAATGCCAAACAATACTAGCCGATGAGAGCGTATGGCATCCATAGAAGCAGGTCATAGGTACTGCGCCTTCTTATCTCTGCGTTCAGGAACGTAGCTACCGCCGTATCAGTGATACGGGGCCCCCAGCTACAAGGGCCCTTAAAGTGTGTGAGCAAAAATTTTTACACTCTAATTGCCCCCCCCCCCCCAACAAATTATCTGTGGCTCGTTAGTGCCTTTGTTCATATTACATTACTCTTTGATGTACGATCACCTAACGAAGGTTTAAACACTCTGTGTATGTACTTACGTTATTCTTTAAGTCCCATATATGTTTTTATACACTTTCTTCTTAGAAATTTGTGATCCTTTATATACTTATAAGTTACTCAATATGTCTTGTATGAGATAAGTACGTTTTTTTTAATGCCCGGCCTTACATTTATTGGTATAGCGTCCTACCTTATCCCCACTTATTAGGTAGTTGCAAAATGGTTAATCACGGTGATCTTGGACATGGATTTATCTATCAATTTAAAATTAATGTCAATTTAATGAGGTCATAGGAGTTGTAATATAATATATTTAGTTATCTAAATAAATTTACTTAACGATCTTTAGTTGTAATGGATGAGTAATTTAGATACAACATTTAACAACAATATCCTAGATGGTTAGGAAAATTCTTCCGGTATTTCAAAATATGCGATGTGTAAAGGACAAAGAAGATATTGTGATCGATTACGCATCGATCGAATGTGCTTGCATAGAAATATTATTAGGTTACGCCAGTGGTCGACAACCTGCGGCTCTTTCGATGTAAAGTTAGTTCTCGACTTCCATATGAAAAAATAATTATTTTACTGTCAAAACGAAAATAATAGTTTTACTTTAATACGTTTGAAATATACTGCTTACGAGAGATGAGATTCAAATGCCCAGCTGCGCTGTCGACTTAAAGCTTTGATAAATGACATTTATGCAACGGGCAAAATTTCGTTATGAAAACTCGAATATAACACGAACAATTTAGTCGTTTAGTGTCTCTTTAAAAACTGTGAAATTCTGTAAATAGTAGTTTTTGGCTGTCTCGTAAGGTTGTCGACCCCTGGATTAGGCGCTCGAGTTGACTGACGGCTCGTTAGAATGGATTCAAAAGAAAAAAATAGTTGATCATGGAAGTTCACTCTTTATTATACAATCGTTATCCTGACTAGAAGCGCTTTGAGGTCGTTCTGTTTGCCACATGCGGTTATTGGTACCAAATTGGTTTGGAACATCCACAATTTCATCTAATAAAGCTAATACTTTCCTTCTAAAACATTTCATCTGACTTTCTGTTAGTTCATTTATTTCTGGTAACAGGCTGAGAAGGAACATTTTTCTTGAATCATTAACTTTATCCAAAGAAGTTTTATGCTGTAAATATTTAATCGAAGGTTCGTATTGTCTAGTCCTTTTTCTTAGTGGTTCAGCGTTTTCGAGCATATTGTCGTAATCGTAAAACTGCGGTGATTGTCCATTCTCATTGGCGTAATCTGTGATTTCTTCATCTGTATCAATTTCTAAATTAGCTCGTGGCATATAGCTACTTTTCGGTATTAATTTAACGAAAGGCAACACGAACTCCATGTCGTCATGTAAATAATATTTTTTCTTGAATGATCCATCTGGATTTGGTCGCAAACTTCGTATAAAGCCATAACGCAAATTTTTCCACTTTTCTCTGCATTCCCCAACTGGAAAATAAAAGGGAAGTTATGTTATGAGACATGCGAAAATTGCGTTTCATAACAACTAATTTATAAAATTTGAAAACAATAAAAAAATATAGGTATTTAAAAAATAACATATTATCATTTATAACATTTACTGCAGTCTATATTACTAGCGCACTAGGCGACCCAATTTCAAGTTAGATCTGCATTCGACTATCTAACTATCTGAACATTGCACTAATATATTCAATTGTGTATGCAGACATTTGTTTAAGTCGTTTACGTAACTTAAACGATACGAAAGATAACTTAGTAAAGTAGCAATTTTCACACTTTACATGGTAAACTCGATAAAGCAAGCAAATGATTTTATACATGACGCTCTTGCAAATAAAGACGAAAATGGCTTGTCCATTTTTATAGATAGAGTTGTTGGAAAACAGCACGTGGACACTATCAAAGTTTTTATTAAGGAAGTTATAGATACCTTTAAAAGTGTATATCTCACCTGTGAGTTTTGTTTCGTTGGCTATTTCGTTCCAAGCTTTGTCTGTTACTTCCTTTTTGGAGTAATCAATGCAGTTGTAGTTGTATATACATGGAAACTTTTCAATACTTTTTACTAACAACAAGTTTTTGTCGCCCATGTTTAGAAACAGAAGAAACGTACACTGGTGACGTTGCCGCTACACAGTGAGCGGCTGGCTGACTGGCGTGGAATTTGTTCGGTTAAAACATGTCGGCGACATGACGCGTAGCAATGTGGCGGGAAGCCAGTGTTGCTTGTTGCTATGACGCGGGTTATTATCGGCGACTCGCAGTTACGTATGCCAATCGTGCACTATTTGTTCGTTACTTAGAATAAAGAGACACTGTAAGATGATAGTCAGTGGTGGATTTACATAGATATATACCGCTAATACTCTATTCAAATTTTACCACCTCTATAATTTACAATTAATTCGATACCTCGCAATTTAACTATTTGCTGTGACATTTACATTTACACCGAGTTCGATTCCCGGTCGACAAAACGTAGAAAATGAAGTTTACATTGTCTTCGGTTTGGTTGTGGCACTTTCGCTATTTCAGATACTCCAATAAAAGTGGTTACACTTACTAACTAACTAAATAGCTGCTTAGAATTATTGTTATTGTTATATTTATAATATAAATAGTTGTCTAATTTACATATGTGTAAAGTAATTTTGATAAATACAAAAGACAAGTGACAATCTTTAAACTTCTATTTGTTTAATGATTTGACATCTATTTCCGTGAAGTATTTCTATGCCACACAGTGCTGAAGAAGAAAAGTCTCATCAGAGCAGCCTGAAGTATGATGATTCGAACTTGTATTTTTTGCAAAACCGGGTCAAATCTCGAACCAATTAACCCTGTTCCATCAAGCTATTTTAATAAATTTATCTTTACTATTTTCGCTCAAACTATCGACCTGTCGTTATTATTTATGACTTGATATAATCTATCTTTATTTACAACCTGTTTCCTGCCAAAGATACTTAAAACAATAGGTTTGTCTCTGGTTATAGAGAGATTAGTAGCTCGTTGGCGTAGTGGATAAACGCCGCGGCACGCGATCTTTGTCGTTAAGCAGCTTTAGCACGGGATGGGTGAGCAAAAAATTATTATCTCGAGCTTCTTCGTGCTTCGGAAGGCACGTTAAGCCGCTGGTCCCGGTTGCATTTATAGTCGTTAATACTCGCTAATCCGCATTGGGCCAGCGTGGAGGGTCATGGCCCATGCTCCTTAACCATCCATAAGGAAGGCCCGAGCCCCTGCAGTAGGGACGAAATAAAGGGCTGATGATGATCTCAATCATGAGAGATTCGAAGATAAAAACATAGTACACATTGGTACACTAAGCTTCTGAAACCATGTAAAACTTTTAGATACTTAACTCAACAAGATGAGAGGAGAAAAGCTTATACACATTGATCAAATATAATGCCATCACATGGTCCAAGGTGACACTACCTTAAAGCTCGTACCAAAAAATATTAGCTTTATTTTATAAACAAAGGTTGACCGTTTCGTTACTACAGGAACTGATTGAACGGTGAATAAATTAAGCTTCTGAAAGTAATAGAAGTTCGTTAGTTTTAGATAGCCGATTAAGTATATCAGAAAGTAACTAAAAACAAAGTCATAGTTGCCAAGATCTTTTTGAAGTTAATAGTGTTTTGTTTAAACCTCGAACAATAACAAATGACACCGAAAAAAATGCTTATTGTAGTACAATACCTATTGATGATTAGTTTTGCCATTCTGATAAAGGGTTGTGTAGGTTCAATATTGGAAATATAAAAAAACATCTTTAGGGCGAGGAAATAATTTTTTTATACTTCAGAAATATATACATGACATATTTTTACCCGACTACAAAAAGAGGGTTATGTTTTTCGCACATATCTTGTATGTGTATATGTTACGCTCAAAGATCGAAAACGCTCAGTGAGCGGAAAAATAGCTCACAACGCGTTGCGGTCACAGTAAAACATCCACATGGCGAAATTCGTGTTATGGCTCTAATGAAAACGCGCACGACGCGTTGTGGCAATCACAGAAAGACCAAATAGCGAAATTCGTGTCGTGGCTGACATGCTATTCGATCTCAACGCGTTGTGGCAATGAAGAAAAGCCATGATGCGATCTGAGCATTCATTGTTTTAACCATATCACGACGGACAGGTTGTAACGAACTTCGTCGTTAACACTCCGCTCAGCATCTATGTTATCATCTGGAAGTAAGCAAGGGTTTATAATGTGCCACTGCAAAAGATACTGTATTGATAAAAAGTGCAAGTGTCGCTCCAAGAATATAAAATGCAACTCCAAATGCCACAGTAAAAGTTCCTGTAAAAATAAATAGCAATCAAATACTTATTTTAAGTACATTATTGTTGTTTATTGGTGGACAATAAACGTTTGTTCGTGTTAAATATTTTTATTACTTGAAAGAATTTAAATTGTCATAAAAAAATTAAAATCCCTAATTTTTTTAAGTGAATTGTAAGAAATTTACAAATGATTAACATTTCGTGTTCAGTAATTTATTACTTAATATTAATACGTTGATTTTTTTAAATATAAAGTAATCTCAATAAGCAACAAATATCGTTTTATTTTAATTTATATAATATATTTCATAATAACAAACACGTTATGCAGTGATTTTATAAAATAAAAAATATTTCCTAAGGACAACTACCAAAACGTTTCCAGCCTAGGCCTAGTAGGATCCATATCGGAAAGTAGTGTGCGTCGTAATCAAATAATATTCCATACGCGTGATGGCTTTTCTTCATTGCCACAACGCGTTGAGATCGAATAGCATGTCAGCCACGACACGAATTTCGCTATTTGGTCTTTCTGTGATTGCCACAACGCGTCGTGCGCGTTTTCATTAGAGCCATAACACGAATTTCGCCATGTGGATGTTTTACTGTGACCACAACGCGTTGTGAGCTATTTTTCCGCTCACTGAGCGTTTTCGATCTTTGAGCGTAACATATATAAGTATGTAATATTCTTTATTACCTCATATCTTCAGAACCGCTGAACGGATTTAGACATTTGAGGTATTGTTAGATTTGGCTTAGTAGCCTAAGTGTTCTTAGATAGGTAAAGTTAAAAAAACAAGTATGGCGGCTGTCACACAGCCGGAGTTATCCTCAAAAAAAATTTTTTTTCTAAATTTTACTTTACCACTTTGTCGGCGTAATTAACGTGCACTTTACCAAATTACAACTATAATAAAATTAGTTTCGATCAACTAAACTATGGAATATTAACACTATAAATATCCTAGTGGTACAAACCTCCATTAAAATTAATCACGATTCCAAATTGACAATGTTAATTGACTTTTGTCCATTAATTGACGGGGCGATATATCAGCGAATGAAATAAAAGCTTTATTACTTCTTGAAGTAAGTAGGTTTTATTTGATTGAACCTCTATGAGGTGACAGGGATGCGCTCAACGAAGAGTTCGAGGCTATTTTGAAGATAACAGCCCTACAGACTGATGACACACTAGCGGTTCGTGTTAAGAATTTGTATAGAAATATGTAGTTCTTGTTGGTAGTTACAGCTAAAATCTTAAGGCGCTCGCTATCGAAGGTGATCGTACGTCAAAAAAACTTTGCAAAGCCCTCGGGTCTTATGATGCGGGATAACAGGGGAAAGTGAATCAAGACAACTGTCAGAATGGTATTCGAGGCAAGGCAAAAGACATAGGGGAAGAAAACACTTGCATGGTGAAGAGATACTCGTATATTATTATTAAATTATATTATGATGACAATGGCAACTCATATATTTCGGAATAAAATGACTTATTATTATTTTGTATTACTAAAGAAAAATGCTTAAAAATATAATAATAATTTATTATTTTGATCACCTTTAGGATCAAAGTACATCGCGCGCAACATACAATTTTTTCTACTATACAAAAATATAATCAAAGTTGTTTAGGTACATCTAAACAACTTTGATTATATTTCAGCCTCAATCGAATACTGATCAGAATTGATGTTATTATGGTTATTGGTTTAAAACGAATATTATATAATGCTACGGTTCTTATAATTTCTTATCATACTTCTGTTTAAAAATGTAGAGTCATCACATTGTGCTACGCCAATCATCACCAATATCTAGTGTTGTAGTAAGACATTACAACATATACTTTATTTAAAAACGTGTTTCAATATCTATACCTATAAAATACCTATACGAGTCGAGTAGATGACTGCAGTGACTATTCTTTTTTTAAGGCCGGGAGTCAGAAAATATCCACGATATTCTATCTATATAAAGTCAGAAAATATCCAGGATAATATCCAGGATATTTTCTGACTCCTGCATAATTAATTTTAGGTTTAGATATCCTAAGACAACATAGAACCCTAATTAAATTCTGTTTCTTTATCCACAGATTTGCTTCTGAGCAAAGATTAGTTCTTCTAACCATTCAGACAAACAGATTTTTGCTCATATATGTCTTGCTGCCCACATCATAGTAAAAATGAAAATATAAAACGGGCAGCTGTAGAGTTCTAAACTAAGCATGATTCGAAACGTATTAGGTCTATTATTTTTGAAGTAAGTATTGTTTTCATGAAAGCTCAGAGAGTATTTATGCTACTAATTATAAATACCATGCTCTATTTTACAGATTAAAAAACAATGTAGTCAATTGAATATACCAAGGTCATGCTTTTCTAAATTATTGTGTTCATGGGGACAAAAGAGTTTCGTTTTGTAAAGGTTAATACGATTTTACTATTGCCATGAAAGTTTACGTTTAAACGATAAGTACAAATAATTAGTTTATTTGTATTTTTTGACTAAGCAGATAACATTGAACATTATTCAGTGGAATTTAAAGCTTTTGTAATGGAGGCGGATACTTTGTGATCATTTCTACTGTAATAAACAAAATGATGAATTTATGTGGATGGATTAAGTGTGGAATTTACAAAAGTTATTTTCATTAGTTGTACTTTACATTTCTAGTAAGTATATTAAAGTGTAATTACTTATATAGGCAGCTAGTTAAAATATTTATAAATATTTTCGCTGTCATTCGTCATTCAACGACTAAAGACTTGTCACCTTGATCAAGATGTTGATCAAGTGGTACATACGCTGGATTAAAGTTTCCATTCTCTAGAGTCCCGGATTTAATTTCATGCCGGCTGCTCCGCCCTAATCCAAGCCCTAATTGGA